CTGATGGGAGTCGCAGTGACATGACATTCGTCAGGTCACACCTTCCTCACTTCTGCTCTACTATGCTTTCTTCCTGACACTTGCATGTATGGACCCCAAACACATCCAACTTGCAAATACATATGGACAACAAAAACACAACCACACCACTCATACAGTGCATGCACTGCCTCCATACTCTTTTGGGGACAAAACTCAAAAAAGCTGGATGTAACTTAAACATCTTTAGAACCCTCATCGCTACTTTCTTCCTTGTGTACAGTCCTCAAGGTCAATCAAAATCACATTTATTTATTTATACATGTATTTATAGGCCACCTATAACTGACGAGGCCTTCCCAGGAGGCTTACAATACATAAAACGTATTAACAAACTAAAACGCATTAAAACCAATTAAAACACAATGAATTAAAACATCTATGAAAGCGATATGAAAAGAGCCACAGCATTCAGGCTAAGTGTTAAAAAAAAATCCTAAAATGGTATTTCTTTGCCTGGTGCCAAAAGGAAAATAAAGATGGCGCCAGGTGAATTTTCCTAGGGAGGGAGTTTCAAAGATGAGGAGCAGCAGCAGAAAAGGCCCTTCACTTAGTTGCCACCCCTCTCAACTCCCTGAGGGGTGGTTCTCATAGAAGGGCCTCCTGAGCTGATCTAAGGGGGCCAATAGGTATACGCGGGTAGGTGCAGATGGTGCTTTAGATAGCTGGGCCCCAAGCTGGGCCCCAAGCATTTTATGAATAAGAACTCCCATCCAGTAAAGCAGGAGTGGACACACACTCCAAAAAGCAGCACCCTATAGCAGCTTAACAGCCCATGTTTTGCATGGAGAAGTTCTTAGATTCAAGACTGGCATCTCCAGGTCCTGCCTGAAACCCTGGAGAACTGCTGCCAGTCAGTGTCTATAATGCTGGCCAAGGCAGACCCATGTTCTGGCTTAGCATAAGGCAGTTTCTTCTCTTTCTAGCAGGATGCAGTATAATGGCCTTTTTATTAGGATCAGCAAAACTGCATAATTGTGCTGATGCATAATTGCCTGGCTGTAAATTCTTTAGAATTCACTGAGGAGTACTTCAGTTTGCCTGGATGCAACTTGCGAAAGGCATTGAATGTTAACAACCGATGGTTAACATTGAAAGAAATCTTTACAGTTCAGTCCTATCCATGTCTACTCACATGAACTCCGTTCAGTTCAGTGGTGCTTACTCCCAGGTAAGCATGCACAGGATTGCAACCTTTCAGCTTTTAATAGAAATGCAGGCTATCCGACTGCTTAGACTGCTAAAATGATCCCATCGAGGAAACCAAAAGCTGTTCGTAGGCTCTGCTTGCCGATTTCCCCCATTTTTCTGTCACAAACAATACTAAAACCTGAAATGATTTCATTAACTTGCTAGAATAAGAGAGTCCATCAATTACCAAGGCTCTCTGACAGATGACATCACTACTTCTGGTCTGAAAAAGTTCCCCCTCCAGTACATGAATAATGATTCTTCTTTTAAAGACTGAATACTAAATGTAAGCCAGTGCTTGCTGTCTGGAGTGGAGTGCTTTCTGAGTATGCCATTGTTAGGTGCGTGTGTGTGTGCGCACAAATTTAAAGCTAGAGAAGAAACCAAGGAATGCTCCTCTTGCCCTTTTCCCTCTGTCAGTATGCGATTTCCGAGACTGATCCATTACAATGAAACCAACAGTCACTGGCTGGAGTTCTGTTATAACAGACAGTAAGCCTACCTGCCTGCTTTAGTAAGTAACTATTGTCAATCAGTCCCCTTTGTACTTCTGTCAGTAGGTATCTCATATAGACCTTGAAGGATGCCATTGTAGACTGACAATAATTTCTCTCTCTGCTGTTAGAAAATCCTACTGCAGAAGTGACAAAAAAAGAACCCTTCAGAAGATGAAATGCAAGTAATTTTTGTTACTTTTATGCAGAGCTGAGATTATCTTTTGAAGAGGAGTTATCTAGGGAAGGTGAAAAAGCATGGGGGGGTCCATTTTACGTGTTCGGGGGCGCACTGTGTTACTTGCCTTGATGTAGGCTTCCTTCTGGCACTAATGATGATAATGCACAAGTCTAAATCAGCTTGCTGGTTAGAGGAAATCTCTAAAGATCTATTTGGTTTAACTAGCCTTTTTGGGACATGGACTGAAGAAGAATGTTTTGATATAATATTGTTTTATACTTTTTTTTGAACATTCATTTATTGTTTGCCTGTATTGTATAGTGGTTTGTTTCTTTTTATTTTGAGAGACTTCCACCCTTAGAGGCAGCCAAAAATCATTGTAGATGATGGTGATGCCTTCCCTACCTGGTGCCTTCCAAGTGGGTTGGACTACAACTGCCAGCATTCCTAGCATTGGCTTTGTTGGCTGGAATAATGGATGTTGAACTTCTGGAGGGCACTGTGTTGAGCAAGGCTGGTGGGGGCTGACCAGATGCAGCATAATATGGTTTCCAGGCTATGTTATCAGGGACTTCTTAGTATCAGTAACGCTGGATGAGATTCCACAAAGCCAACCCAATCACTAGCTACGTGTTGACTGTGTTGTACGACACAGGCAGGTGTTGTTGTTGTTATATTAAATTTCTATACCACCCATAGCCAAAGTTCTCTGAATGATTCACAGTATTTAAGTCACCCATTCAGAATTCAGCCAGAACAAATTCCGCTTCGCTTCCAAGAGTAGGCAGGATCAGGCACTCGGGCAATATAGTAGTCGGTAGAATGCAGACTGAGATTTCCTTGTAGATCTTCAAGTGATTTGCTGTAGATCTGCAAAGATTGCTGATTCCCAACAGTTTGACAATAAAAAAGCAAGTAAAGAATGATCTTTGCTATGGCAAGCAGGTCTTGTGCTAATTGCTTATCTCTCAGCATTCCTCACTGATAAAATATGAGGCAGTGTGGGGTGTCAGGTTAACCGTTGCACTGGGGAACTGGAGATCCAAGTTCCAGTCGCAGTTTGGCTTTGAAGGTCACTGGGTGACTTTGGTCCAGATACTCAGTCTCGGCCTCACTGACCTCAGACAGTTGTTGTCGTGAGGGTAAAATGGAACTATGTAAGCCACCTTGGGTTTCTCACAAGAGGAAAAAAGTGGAGTATAAATGCAATTTCATAATAAAAATACTACTGCTGCTACCACTAAATGAGTATTAAAAGGCAGGAAACTTTGACTAGATCTTCGTGCAGTTCTTTTAGCCAGTTTCAAGTTTGATGTTAGAATCCCTACTCTGTAATAACTCAGACATAGATTCATACTCATATCAGCAGATTAACCCAGTTCAGGGCATTCAGTGGGTGATTTGGCCCTGTCCCCAGAGTCACCATGTTGTGCCTGCCTCCAGTCAGTAGTTCTGAGGGATCTAGTAAAAATAAATAAATGCATTCAGCTCCCCAAAGCCTGAAGTCTGTGAGTCTCTGCTCTCATCTCTTCCTGCAGAATTCAGAAGCCCCGGGTGTCAGAGATTAACCCTGGGCCTTTGGCAAACTAAGCCAGGCTACTGTGCCACTGAACTGCAGCCCTACCCCATTGGATCTCTTTGGAAAGGTCTAAAAAATACTTTTCAAGAAGCCATCAAAATGCGTGCTGAATTAGAGGTTGCTAAGAGTATGTTCAGGGATCTCCCCTTCAAAGTTAACAGAGCAGCAGCAGCAGCAGCACCCCCTTAGAAAAAGGAGGGGAATGACAAAAACAGCTGATGATTCTGCTTATTTTGAATGTGTCCTCCTGTTCTGGCAACTGTCCAGGAGGATGACATTTGATTCTGGCTGGTTGGCAGTTCTAAGATCAGGATGGTCTGCAGAATCATAAAATTATGAGAGTTGGAGTGCACTTTGGAGGTTATCTAAGAAGTCACCTAGTCCAACCTCCTATTGATGTGGGATGAAGCTGTGGTATTCTGAAAAGATGGCAGCTCAGCCTCTGCTCAAGTGCTCTGATAATGGAGAGACCATCACTTCTTGCGGCAGCTTTTCCCTTGCCAAACAGCATTTGCCACTAGAAGGTTTAGCCAAAGTCTAAATTTTAGCCATTTCTTAGACTTCTCCAACTTGCATTGACTGACTCTTACGCTGTCTTCTGGAGTAACAGAGAACAAGTATGTTCCATCTTCTACAAGGCAGTTCTTTGCATATGCTCAGGCCACTATTGTTTCCCCCTTGATGTTCTCTTCTCCAAGCTAAATATTCCCAAGTTCTTTCAACTGCACTTATGTATACCAACCTAGGATGACCACATAGCAAAAGAGGACAGACCACGTGTACCTGTCATACACTTGTGCCTGTCATGCACTTGCGCCTACAGAAGCCATTGCGATGAATACTTGCATCAAGGCATCATCTCCATACTTCTGCATCAGGAGTAGGTAATTCAGTGCTGTACGGATGCTTTGGATGACAACATCCATAGACCCCACAACAGGAATTCTGGCAGGGAGTTCTGGTCATTGTAGTCTAAAACATCTGGAAGGCGCTAGGTTCCTACCTCTCCTCCTTCACCTTCCATGGTTCTTACTTCCTTGTAAACACATTTCCTGCCTGCACTCTGTGCTTCCATATTAGAAAGCAAACCATCTTCTTGCCTTTCTTCTCTGCTGCCCCATTTCCACCTATCCCCTTGATGATTGTTTTCAAAGAGCTTGTTGATTCCTAACTCCAGAGAGATCATTGATTCTTAGCACTTAGAGCAGAACTGTATTCAATAAATTTCTACCCTGATTTAAGATAGCCTAACAGTGGTAGAAGATAAAGTGTTCTCTGAAAGATGGAATTTTGCAGAAGTGCTTTTTAATTAGGTCGCAGAGCTACAAAGTGAGTCTCAGAGCTGTGCTACATGTGGCTATTAATTGAGGCATCTAGTCTGCTTCCACGCAGAATTGAGATCCAAGTTCTACTGGAAGAGCTTTTCCTTTTCTCTATATAACCCCTCTAGGTGGGACTCGGCTATGGGGGAATATCACAATTAAACAAGCAGGAATACCATCTCTTTCATTCTCAGGAAAAAAAATCCATTTCCTTGCTCTAACTGCACTACAACCACCACTGCAGAAGCTGTTCTTAAGCAACAGGAGAGAAACTGCAGGAGGGCATCATGGACTACAGAATCCACAAACAACTGTGAGTGAAGAATCATGAGTATACACAAAATTCCTCCTGTAGAAAAGCCCTCTGAATTGCTCTTTTTCCACAGCTATTGTGGAAGACTCTGTCTCTCACAGCTGTGTTTTCCAACCCTTGTGCCTTCTGGGAATCTGGACAGCAGGCTGTCACACACTCGCAAGTCCTCTGGTCACAAGGGTGAGCTGTACTGGATTTCTTTTACAATGATTTTCCATATTTGCATGTATGTATAGGGATTAACATACCCCAGCTTCTTACAAAGACAGCTCCTCTTTTCTGGTGGTGTGTTTCCTTGGTTACTCATAAGTGCCACTCATATGTCAAACTCAGCACATGTACAGAGGCACTTGCCTTTTGCCTCATTTCAGAAGGAATTCTTGGTGCTTCGCAGAGAAAGGACAGCTTGCCCCTATTCCGAGGCACTCGCCGAATGCCAGCATTCTTGAATGCCAGCAACTTGATAGCTGTGGTGGTGGGGATGGTAAGAACTCCAACCAGGTTCAGTTGCTTCATCTTCAGCCTTCTTTCAATGGCACTCCTGCCCCCATTAGCTTGGCACATGGGTAAAAGCTGGATGACACAGAGAAGTCTGATAAAAAGCCTCTTTGCATGCCTGATAACAGAGCAACACTTTGCCTTTTCCTCTCCATTTGCAGCCACTGCAGCTTTCGGAGCCTGTCCCAAAGAAGCAAGTGGCTTTATATAAAAGTGACAGATGCATTATCCTTACCCTGTTTAACTAAGGTTGGTGAGCAGCAGTAACACGGGGTGGTCCATGTGACTGGCTGGCTCCGTGGCACGGGCAGACGTGGCCTCTTGAGAGAGGTGAGCCATGGCTTTACAACCTGGTGCCTGATGCTGCTGCTTGCACAGAACTGGCATTAATTGAATTCCTTCTCCCCCACCCCCATAGGAAGATACTCAGCATTATCATTTCTTCTTAGCTAATTGGTCTGATAGCAGCAGCTACACTTATCATTGCAAGGAAGACAGGCAGGCAGGCCGGGAACTGATATGTTCTAGCTCACTTTTATTAAACCTTGGCTTTGTTAACTTTTTGGCATTTAATGGAGGTTTACAAAATGGCTTGCAGAACTATCACAGGCCTATTTGCTGGAGGGCCGTCCCACTGTGTTTAATGGGACTTATTTTTATTTATTTATTTATTTAAAGTTTTTATATGCCATCCCATTACTAAAAGTCTCTGGATGGCTTACTCCTAGTAAGTGTGTAGATTTGGAATCTTAAACCTGTAGTGGAAAACAGGAGACCTGAATTTAAACCTCAATTTCAGGTTGAATTGCATTGCTTGCTCAAATTATGAGATGGTTCTGGGTTCTCTAAAGCAGAAAGAAAGATTTGCAATGTCTTTCTCTCATTCGTGTGTGTGTGTAGAGAGAGTTTGTATCTCATTTGTTTTATCTTGCTTTACTTTGCACTGCTGCTGTTTCGAGGTAAAAATTATCATGTTCAAATGGTTCAATATTCTGTCTGAAAAATGGCCAATAGTAACACAGGGTCATTTTTCCCTATTAGTCTAATTTGTGTAATCTCTTGCTCTCCTGTAGCCATTGGCAGAAGCTATAAGAGAAGTGGGTATGGCAGGTTACGTAGGACCTTCCACCAGTTGACTGAGGCCCACGTCTCCCCAAGTTTCACCTTTCTAATCATTCAATTGTTCCATTTTACCCCATTTTAAAAGACGCAAGAAGATCAAAACTAGAGAAATAAGACAGTTGGCTAGATTTGAATGGGGTTTACATTGTATGGGCACCAAGAAGCATGTTGTGATCCTTTCTCTTTGATGTACTGAAGAGATATTAAGGAGGTCTCTGCAGGAGAGTCTTCCTTTGTCCAAAGATGAATTATAAGTAGGTCTTTTTTCTCTCTTTTTTTATAACAAAGATATTCCATTAACAGATGCTGTATTTTATGGTACTTACAAAATATCATTTGTCTGCTGGAAGTGATACTTGGGAAGATTTGACAAGCCATTTGCTCCTGTATCATACTATCATAGAAACCTGATCAATTTGTTCAAGCAAATTTTGGATAGAAGCAATGATGGCATTTTAATGAGCAAAACATTGAAGGGACTAGTGTTTACTTCCCTAATTTGCCTAGGTGCCCTCTAAATGGACTTCAGTTTCCATCAATCACAGTCAACATGGACAGGACAGGATAGGAGTGTTGAGAGTTGTAACCATGAACCATGAAGGTTCAGAAAGGCTAGATTAGAAGACATGGAGGAAAGACTGAAGATGGTTCTAAATGAAAGCATTTGGTGAAGAACTTTTTTCTAAATACCAAGCATGTGAACCAGGAATTCAATGGAAAAAGTAAAAATTCAGCCATGGCACCTGGACCAGAACACTAAGGCAAAGCCGACATTAGTCTTCGATATGAGGAGAACTTCTGTATTCATTATAATAGCATAGCTGTGAAGAAATGATTATGATCCAGTTCCATGTGCTGCATATGATTGCACTTGGAAATAAATGTTAAGCCTAAGCAATGGACCCAGGTTTTGAAAAGTCACCTGCAAGATGACTTCTAGAGGGCCTTCTCCATCACCCTCTTTCCCATTAGTAGATGGTGGCAGCTGCTGCTGCTGCTTCTCATGCCTGTTTGGTCACCCAAGTAGTTGCGTAAATCAATACAGTGGGGATCAGCAACCCAGATCCTGGGCTCACGACAGAGCTGCCAGTGAAATGGCAGTCTGAGCAGATACCCAACAGTGTTAATTTCTGGCATCAACCTTGTTGAGTCTCCTTAGGGAACAACCTTGTGCCTCAAAAATATGTTGATCTGTACAAAATGTACAAATGGAATGGCTTTCCTCTGAGTCCCTGTATCACTGAGTCTTAGCAAAGCGCATTATGGAGTGTATCTGGTGAAAGTAGGAAAACTATATAAGAGTAAAGAAAGCAGACTATCATGTAAGAAATATACAGGAAAAAATCCTTCCTTCCTTCCTTCCTTCCTTCCTACCTTTCTTCCTTTCTTCCTTGAATTTGGCAATGGAAACCAAATAATCAGACATACTGACATATTTTATACATTGTAATTATTCTTTCATTATTTGGGATGTCATAGATATTGTGAATGTAAAGACCGAGATACTGACTATTGTTGTGAATTAAAATATGAATTGGTAAAATACATTGTGACACAATGACATATAATGTATAACCTTCCTTGAAGGATGTGGTTAGATAAGACAACTGGAGAAAAGCTTTGACAGAATCTGCTGCCTTTTAAAAAAAATAGCCATCTAAGTCCCACTGCCTTCAGTAGGATGTACTTCCATGTAAGTGTGTTTAAGATAGAAAAGTATCAAGCTCCAGGGGTCTTTGATTCAAAATGAAACCATGACATGGATGAGGGCTTAGCTCTTTCAGCACATGCCACTTTTCCAGTCCAAATCATTCAGAGCTGTTATTTGCCCCATAAGAGAAAGCATGACTTCAAACTGGGAAAATGGTTTCCATAAATAGGTTTTGTGTTTTGTTTTGCCTTGTTTTGTTTTCAAAGAAACTTTGAAAACTTCCCAGAACACAGGGCAACCCCCATCCATATTTGGCTTTCCTCCTGCCATCCCATTCAAACTGACTTTTTATATATGGGCTTCTGCATGTTATCTGTGTTTCATATGGATTTTAACTCATGAATCATTTGTCTATTGCATTGTTATGGATAGCCATTTTTATAAACTGCTTTATGTATGTAAGCCAATGGACATTCAAATGACTTGTGAGTTTTAAGAACAGTTTTAGTAAGGCATCATAAAATGAAAAACAAAAGCTGCAAAACAGAGCAGCCATGATGTAAGGAAGACACAGATTCCAAAGAGTGATTGTAAAAGGGCTTCACTTGACAGCAGATTTAGTATCAGGTAAGCCTACCTGACAATAGAACTTCCCAGACGCCATAACAAAGAAGACCTTGATACAGCAGCATTTTTATAAAGATTATCTTTTGTACCTTTTCTATTCCAATATTATAGTTCAGCTTTCCCCAATCTGGCACCCTTCAGGAGTGTTGGACTACAGCTCCCATCAGGCCTAGCACTCCAACTAATCTAGAGTGCATTGGGTTGGGGAAGGCTGTTATGGTTGCTAAGAAGGGTTATTTTGTTGTTCAGTTGTTTCTTTTTCCTTTGTGTAGACCAAACATGGCTGGAGATTCCAGAATTTTCATGAACCAGGACATGGAGATTGGTGTCACCCCAAGAGAACATAAAAAGATCCCCAAACAAGCCCGGGATGATGTCCCAATTACCACTGATCGAACTCGCCTTTTGGCTGCAGAAATCAAGAAACCACGCCAGCGCTACATGGAAAAAAGTGGCAAGTGCAATGTCCACCATGGAAATGTCCAGGAAACCTATCGTTATCTCAGTGACCTCTTTACTACTTTGGTAGACCTCAAGTGGCGTTTTAATCTTCTTGTGTTCACTATGGTCTACACTATCACTTGGTTGTTTTTTGGGTTCATTTGGTGGCTCATTGCCTACATTCGAGGAGACCTAGATCATGCAGAAGATGAAGACTGGATCCCTTGTGTTGATAATCTCAGTGGCTTTGTCTCTGCATTTCTGTTTTCCATAGAGACAGAGACCACCATTGGGTATGGCCATAGAGTGATCACTGAGAAATGTCCTGAAGGTATCATACTCCTTTTGGTTCAGGCCATTCTAGGCTCTATAGTCAATGCTTTCATGGTAGGGTGCATGTTTGTGAAGATCAGCCAACCAAAGAAGAGGGCAGAGACCCTCATGTTTTCCAACAATGCTGTGATTTCTATGAGGGATGAGAAGCTCTGTCTCATGTTCCGGGTTGGGGATCTAAGGAATTCGCACATTGTTGAAGCTTCCATTAGAGCCAAGTTGATTAAATCCAAACAGACTAAAGAAGGGGAATTCATCCCCTTGAACCAGACAGACATCAATGTGGGATTTGACACAGGAGATGACAGACTGTTCCTGGTGTCACCACTCATCATTTCACATGAAATCAATGAGAAGAGTCCATTCTGGGAGATGTCCCGTGCCCAGCTGGAGAAAGAAGAGTTTGAAATAGTGGTCATTTTGGAAGGAATGGTAGAAGCAACTGGTAAGACATGACTGCAATATTAATGTTGGTATTATTGGTGCTAATTCTGATGTCAAAGATCCATCATTCTGGTATTAAAGCCAAGAATGATGTATAGAAGCATGATTTGAACAGTCCATGCTGCTGTATACTCAGGCAGACCATTGGATCATTTATTTATTCATTTATTCATTAAATTGATTTCTACACTGCTTATCATTTCTTAAAAATGTAAGAGGGTTACAAAATCAAAAATTAAAATATATCATAAAACAATGTAAAAGCTTATCAGTTAAAATGTCTAAAATATGTAAAACAAAAATCAAAAGCACAATTGTGATTTGCAATAAAAGCCCCTATGTAGCCAGTTAGGAATTCAAAACTTTCCATGTTAGTTCAGTTATTCCCAGCAGGGGAATTCAAGGTTGTCTCAAAGAAGTTCACCCAGCTGGGAACCAATGGGCACACCTGAGACAACATTGATGTTGGACTTATTTCAAACAGAGAGCAAAAGAGAGAAAACAGTAAGACATTTCCAGGCCACTCAGAATTTCTGTACACAAGTAACCCAAGATGCAAAAATCTGGAAGTGGCGAAGGGACATATTTGTACCTAAGCAGGGTGGACCTATTTTGCAGAGGTCACACAGTAGACTCAAGCAGCAGATTCTGGGAAACAGCAGCAAGATATGGATGAAAGTCCTGTGTGCCACAGGGCTTGTTCTGTGCCCGTAAGCTGCTGGCAGGTTGGGTGGAGGATGCTGTCGCACTCCCAGTGTTGATGAAAGGTTCAGGTGGTACTTGAGTCAGCTTTGGTACATAGAATAACAGGGGACACCATCTTGTTTCTTACTTCAAGCTTCAAAATGCCTTGGGCAGGCCCTCCTCCAAATGTTTTGTTTTACAGCACCCATAATTTCTTACCATTGACTATGCTGACTGGGACGGATGAGTGCTGTATGTAAAAACGTCAGGGAGAGCATGAGTTGCCCACCTGTTTTAACATCTAACCCACCCTGATGACTGTGTTATCGCATGAGACAATGCACGCAACGTAACAATCCTGGAGAAACTGGTTATTTTGAGCAAATCTACACTGAATGTATGCATTGAAAAGGTGACAGGAAAATCAAGATATTTTCCATGCATTTTCCTGGAGGAGGAGTTTAGACATATTAAGGAGTAGACAAATGAAGACCAATAACAGTCATAGAAAAATACAAGAAAAAAGATAGAAGAGTTGAATAATACATATGGCCTCCAAGGCATATTGTGGAAGGGGGAAGGGGCTCTTTCTAAGGGAAATGGTTAATTCAAATCCTGACCCATCAGCCTGGGCTCCACAATCCAGGGCACAGCGCTTGATCTCCAAGTCTTTCCCCACAGAGCTGATAAGGGGAACACGGGAAATGTACCTGACTCAGCTAGTACAAGGAGGAGCAATTGCTTAAGACCACTTAAGGAATGTATGGGCAGCGAATGGATATTTTCTGAGCTTCTCAAAGAGTGTGTTGAAATGTTCAATTTTTTTAGCCTACTCATTTTTGTAGCATGAAATGGCTTCTGCTAGCCGGATTCAAGTTACGGAACTTTTGAGCAAGGAATAAGTTAATGTAACTAGCAACTACTGATAGCCCATTGCTACTCTGTAAGTTTTTCAAATCTCCAAGTGAATTACTTCTAAATACTGGAAGACTGGTACAGCACAGTGGTTTTGATAAACTTGCACACAGTTCTTCACTCAATGAAACACAATGGATGTTCTGAAGGGAACTCTCCCCCCTGCTGTAACTTCCATTAACTCCCTCTTGGAGGCTATTCAAAATAGCCACTTCTGTGGCCGTCAAGAAATGCTTGTTGCCATGGAAGCCTATGTCTGCGTAAAACAAAGCAGACAAAGAAAATGCATTTGTTAAAGCACTTTATTGCAATGCATTTAAAGCACACACTCGCACAACTTTAAACATAAACAGAATTCCACAGACATGTCTGGAGCTGGGTGCTCAAGATCAATATCTGAAACTTGCCAGCTCTTACAAGGTCTCAAAAGAGGAAAGTCCAAGTTGAACCACTATTGATTGATGAAGTAGCAACATTATTTATAGCAAATGAATGGTTTGTGGCCAGAACCCACAAACCATTTTCTGCCCACGCTCGCAGTTCATTTGGCCAAGGCGCTGGACAAAAGGACAATGTGCCATATGGATGCCAGGAAATGCTGTTGACTCTGTTTGGATCACCTGGGCCACATATTGCATTTGCCCACTTGTATAAGCTAGCCATGGCCACCAAGATTTCTTGCATGAATGAAAGATGCATGGTATGAATTATGTGTGTATGAGAGGAGGGAGAGGAGAGAAAGCAGTAAGTGACTCAACTTAGATGGCAATATTGCTGTGGAAGTAAAATGGGATAATCCGTATCTATGGCTTATAATAAATAATAATTTACGGTGCCAGCAGTGTCCCAGTTTCCCATATGAGAAGGACAAACTCTTTACCTACTTTAAAATAGAAAATCCGTTGTAGCAGAAAGCTAACATCTACCTATGGGTAAAAACAAATCTTATTGATTGAATTTTTAATGCTCTTATTATATAAACATAAACTTTTGGGGATATACCAAGTCACATTTAAAAATATACTTTTTTTAAAAAGCAGCCCAGACTAATCAATGTTATGATATACGAGTTTTGGGTAGATACATACTACCAAATGGAGGAAATGCATCACCAAAGGGGAAGACAAAAGATGACACAATTCTGCATAACATCAGCATTTGCTGAATTGCTGACGGATACAAATTCTGAAATACTAGAATTTAAACAGAAATGTGACTCTTTCCCACTTCCATTGACATATATTCTCTCTCACCATAGTGAGGAAAACTGATCAGTTGGCCATGTGCGTGCTCAATCTGCTGTCTGGGCACTAACTGATGATGGGAATCTTCAAGGCCCCTGCGGTTTTCCCTTCTTATAATTATTTGTCTTTCAATGGACATGGACTTGAGCAACTGTGAGAAAAAAGATCCTGGACTAAATGGTCCTTGGTCCTGATCCAGCAAAGTTCTATTTTCATCTCAACCCTTCCAAGAGAGGTTTGGATCATGAGACTCCTATGGTGGGTGTGTAGTGAAGATGTTATAATCTTAAAGAGGTTGCTCCCAATTTCCTTTCCTTTCCTTGGACTTTTGGAATGATAAGGCAACATTTTGTACTGTGGTGGCATTGATTATAACATGCATCCTCAGCATCAGCTCTTACTGATTCAAGTGCTATGTGGTTCCATATTTGAGCTATTAAACTCAGCATCGTTCTTAACCTCCTCAAGAGCTTCTTCCCAAGACAGTATTTTCTATTTAAATTTTGGTTTTGACTTCCTCTTGCACATCATTGGCCACACTTTTGCTTCCAGGTAAGGTAGTGCTCTGTATATGGAAGCTCAGAATCTGTTTCCATCACTCTTGATAGCTGTAGCTGTATCAAGAATCTGGACTCATGATATGTTCACTTTTTATTTAAAACAGCTTTATTGTCACAGCTCTGGCACAAAGGGAGAAGATAATGCTGCAGTTACACATGAAGTTGCAACACACTCAAATACACACACAGAGAATCCACTTAAGAGTTTGCTGTTTTCTAGGACTGAAAATCAAGCTCAACGGTTTGGCATGGTTCATGTGTGAGTTCAGCATCTTTTTCACCATCACAGGCTCTTGCTGTTGGGAATGGTGAGGACATATCCTGTGCTTCCCTACTCACGGTGCTTCATCATCTAGCAGCACAAATGGGTCAAGAGGAAGTCATTTTCAATAACAAGCCCAGAAACTAAAACATGGCAAAAGGATGTTAGTCTACAAATGGGCCTTTAAGGGGGAGGGATACAGGCTGGCACCTGATCACATCCAGAAGCTTGCATCTGTGTAAATTCATTTCTGGGCCTTCAGAAGAGCAGACAACAGACTCTTCTGTACTTAAATTATAATAGCGCAATCTCCTGGAAGCTTTTTTTCTACAACACACTGAGCCCATCTCCAAAGATGGGCTTTCTGCTATAGGGCATGAGAATGTATTGCAGAGCTAGAATGTACCATCTTGTTTACAAGAGGAATAAAAGCAATTATATTCCTCAAGCAAATGGAAGAAATGGAAAAGAACAACAGAGAGAAAAATCTATTTAGTCAAGTGGTCTGATTTCAAATAAGACTGCAATCCACACTTCCCCCTGTCAAAATACTCTGGCATGTGGATTCATGGCTAAACTTTTGACATTGTAGAAATTAAAGAGCCATATGCACTGGAACAGGCTTCCTTTGCTCGATGTATATTTATTTACTGACGTTTTAGACCGTGCATTGGAGGATCCTTACAGAATGGGATTATAACCATCTTGCATACCATGCCAACTTAGGAGGAACAGAAGGGCAGTCTGGGTACCTCATGTTCCTCTGGACTAGTAATGGCACTGCCTTGAAATTTAGACTGAGCAGCAGTCCTCCTGGTTCTTGGCCGCGTGTTTATCACCACCAGCAGGTCCCAGACAGTTCTCAGAGTGGGTGCTCAGACAGCCTGTTAAGACTGTTGTTGTTATGATTTTCACAGCTGGTTCATAAACTCCTGTCACCAAGATTAACAGCAGCAATACCATTTACAATCATCCAGGACTAATGAAGAATATCTAAGCAGTACCAGGATTGCTTCAAGAGGATCATAATTCTCAGCTTCACATGTAATTTACACACTTCTTCACACACACCCATGCAGACACCTTTCCAGTACAGGAGCATTTCTAGGTGGACGTACTTCAGTCTTGCAGGATCTGTTTTGTCAGCGTCCTGCAAAGGTTGACACACTGTCAGCTTAGAGCCAGCTCAGGGTCATGGGATCAGTATTACTGAGCCAGAAGCAGGGAGAAAATTTTGATGCATGGCCAAGATCCAAACATAGCCAGAGTTTCTAGATTCCCACCGAAGGATAACGCTGCATCACACCAGAGGCTTCTTTAAAAGGCCTTCACATGA